ATGATAAAAACTAACAAGGACATTTTAGCCCGGGACTAAGACTAAGACTAAAATGAAAATAGCTGACAAAATTAACACTAGTGTAAACTTAGTAAACTGTTTCCATTGTTAGCTGTAGTTAGCAAGGAGCAGTAATTTACCTGTTAAACTGGATGAACACAAGGTTCCAGATTTCAAGCACATTCGGGTCATCCATGTTGACCAGATGGGCGGCATCTCTGCCTCCAATCCGATCATAGTGGATCTCGCTGCAGGGTCCACATGGACCGGTGTCCCCCATCTCCCAGAAATTATCTTTCATGCTCCCCGGCAGAATACGACTCTCCTCCATTCTAAGACAGAGAGAAGAGAAACAAAAAATATTTAACAATTTCACATCAATAACTTAATACACCTTGTACAGATACTGTACTCACCCCAAGTCCAGCCAGATCTGCTTGCACTCCAGGTCAGGCTCCAGGCCTGCGTCAGCATGACCACCAAAATAAGTCACATATAGTCTACCAATAGGTATACCAAACTCTTTCGTCAGCAGCTCCAGTGCCATCTCGCAGGCCAGGTGCTAGAGACAGAATGAGCAAAAGAGAAATAAAGGGATGCAAAGAGAAAAGGCCAAAATTCATTTTTCCATTTATAATTTTAGCAGCACATAAATATAGCAAAACAAGTAGCACCAGTACTATAAAGAAAAACGCCACGATTTTACAATACGTAATACTTTTCTATCCATCTCTTACTTTAAAATAATCTCCAAAGGACCAAGATCCCAACATCTCGAAGAATGTATGATGGTACACGTCTTTGCCCACATCATCAAGGTCATTGTGTTTGCCGCCAGCACGAATGCACTTCTGTGTGTTTGCAGCACGACGAAGTCTGGCCATAGGGTGGGATGGGTCGATGGTGTTCAGGAAGATGGGCTTGAACTATAAAAAACAATTAATTGTTTCCAACAAATTAGGCACTTATGTTCGCCCATTTTTGTAAGTAGGTTCAAATCTCTTTACCTGGTTCATCCCGGCATTGGCGAAGAGCAGAGTGGGGTCATCAAGCGGAATGGTGGCCGACGAGTGGACGTACTGGTGCTCATGGCGGCGAAAGTAGTCGATGAACTTCTCACGGATCTGTGCAGCAGTCAGTGAAGAGTCCATGTTGGTTGTGTTTTTCTCAGGTGACTGGAGATATATATACAAACACACAGTGAGCCGGAAACCGGTTTCACAAATACAGTGGGTGGAGTAAACATGCAGCTGCTTTGTACTGCTGTTAACTGATAACAATTAAAGAATCTGTTATGGACACCTGCAGCCTGTAAGAATATCACGCACACCTCACGATCACTGCATCAATACTGGGACATGCAAGGGAGGAATCTGGTCAAAGCTTGCAAATTCACTAAACAGACTAAATCCTTTCTGACATGCAGGGAAATTAAGCTAAGGGGAAAGCACATGACTAAATTACTTCTTTATGTGGATAAAAGGAACTTTTTGTGAATATAAACACAAAAATATAACTATGAAAATGAAAATAGCACATCAAACCATACAAAATATCTCCTAGAAACTTAAAATTAAATCAAATACTTGGTCTGGAATTGAGAAACCATCTTCCGTGCTGAAGTGAAGCTCCTCAGCAGGTGGAGCCAGTATGCAGCAAACAAAGTCATCCCTGAAGTAATTACAGCACCACTCCCATAACAACTAATCCAAAATATAAAGACATCTTTTTCCTAAAGTCAACCCATAAACACTCAAGCCATGCATGCCAAGAACTTAACTGCTTCAACATCTACACACTGAGAGCCAGAATTTCCTTGCTAGAATGACGTGGACTTAAATATTGATAAACTTGATTTACAATCAATATTAGGGCTCAACCATAAGTATCACATTTTTACTCGTCCTGTCAATGTTTTTACTGGAACCAATGGAAAAATGGCCTAATTTTAAAAAATTCATAGAATTTTATTAAATTACGTATTTGCAAAACAACAACACCAATTAAAACTCCATGATACATATAGATTCACATAAACACATCTTTCCTGAATACAGATACTGGTGTTTATAAGTTTCAACCTACTCTAAATTATGTTTCCAAGACACAAGTCATAACATTTCCTTGAATACATAATTAAATCATCAAAATTTGACAATCATCCCAAAAATAAAAACACATGATGATGCTCTCATGTCACTCCAAGATAAATCACTGTTGTTGTATTTCCTAATTCGTATGCTGGCTTGAACAAAAAGCTTCTTTTAAATGAATAAATGTAATCTAAAACTCTTGATATTTATAGATTAATATAAACACATCTTTCCTGGAAAAAAATACTGATATTTACTTGTTATTTATTTTACTAATATGTAAAATCACTATCATTTTTAGCCTACTCTGTCTGAATTATGCCTCTAAGGCTAATAAAAATCATAATTAAATCATCAAAATTTGACAAGCCTCAAAGTCACACACATGCATGATGAACAAACTTCCTTAGGATGAATCCCATTTGTTATATTGCCTTGTTTGTAAGTTGGTTTAAATAAGAGCTTCTGCTAAATATAAATGTAGTGACAACGCAGTGCTGTCAGGTAGCACAGGGTTGTGAGGTTGCTCTTATTTAGTAGCTTTTAATTAACATACTAATAAAACCCTCACTGAGATTAAATCTCTTAAAGGAGAGACCTGCCAAAGAACACAAAAACAAGCAGTGCACACCTGGCAAATCAATAGACCATTTCAAAGGAATTTTTAAAAAAGAAATAAAGCAAAAGGAAATGCTGACAGGGATCTTCCTTAATGCTGAGCCCTGAATATAAAATTCAAACAATACAGAGTAAAACACATCTGGCAAAGCCTCCTGAAGGATCATAAAAATCAGGCACATGACATGATGCACTAAAATTAGTGAGCAGAGAAAGTCAACAGACCAAGACCTGCACACAGTGAGCTTCACCTGACAACAGAAGAAAGCTTTGGCACATAAAAAAGTGAGATGAAGAGCCATAGATAACGATGCTCTATGATCCTAGAGAAAGTAAATATGCTTTAGTGTAATAACTGCATTCTGAATAAGAACTCATTCAGAACCATATAAACGTAAATGGCATGACAGTTTACACACATATATGAAAACTGGAATCTGATTTTTGCTGCACTGCATTACCAGTGCACTGGCATAGGCCAAACCCCTATAGACCACAAGTATGATGCAAGCTTGTGCTGACTTGCACATCAACATCTCCATCCGGATTTGCATTCTATATTACATAAGTAACCCGGTCATTATGTCAAGGTAACTTACAAAGAGTGGCGGATAATTCAGTCGTTCAGATTTATTTTACACTCGCATGCTTCCCCTAAGCACGAGACAAGGCTAAGCTGGCAATCCAGTCATTCACTGAAACACCATTTAATTGGATTCATGTGATCTCGTGATACAGGTCACAAAGACATATAATAAAAATAACAACAAATAACGCGTGGAAGCCAATGCAAATCTTATAAAACTTACGGGATAATGTTCTTGTAACCGCTTCAGACGCCAGTCACACTACTTCCCCCACGCCGGCTGAAACCAAAAGGAGAGTAGAAGCACCGCCCACAACACACATGATTGGTTCAGGAATATTGATGTTTCAGTGTACGTCGTTTCTATTGGTTTAGGATGCTTTCGATCAAAACAAAGACGAGCTTGGATATGTCAACGGCGTAAAGGACGGAACTGGATGATGCAATGATAAAGTAACAGTGCAGTGATATTTTTATTTTTTATCTTTATTTTATCTTACAAATGTGATTTACAATCTCCTTTGATTTTTTTTTCTCTCCTGGTTAATAAGCATTTCTTCTTTCAGAATCAATCAAAGCAACACCATTGCTGTAAATAATGGAATATTTTTTATGTTTAAGAAAATAATTAAGCGTGTTAACCTAAAAGTTCATTATTATTATTATTATTATTATTATTAATAGTTGTAGTAGTAATAATAGTAGTAGCCTATACAAATGTCCAAATGGATTAAGAATATCATGATGCAGTGTGATGGAAGGGTAGAATTTTGCACAATACAAAAGCAAGACAAACGTTTACCATAAAACAGTGCAATAAAAATGAAACAATATGTTAAACAGTACTTTCGATTTTGTGTATTTGGTTATCAAAGTAACAGTAAGTATTTCCTCACAGCAGGTGGCGATCAAAATCTTGTTTATGCACAAACCCCACATTCTATTTCCATTAGGGACAAGCATAAGTAGAAAATAGATTATGAGTTTTAAGCCATATGATCATTCACATCACAATAATGGCACTACTATTTACATTTAATGTAGGCCTACCTGTAATAAATGTCGCCTGTTTGCTCTTTAGCCTGTTTGCTCTTAAGGTTACTCTTTAGCTATCCCTGTTAACTTTCCTTCTAAAGTCTCCAGTTCCATTTGTCAAAAGGTACAAATGCAAGGTCAAGTATGCAAGCATACGTTATAATATCTAGCTAAACCTGAAATAAATTTTCTCTGACATTTTATTACTGCTGTGATATTGCCGTTTATAGGAAATGAAGTGATAAACAACAAAATGGAGAAATACAGAAAATATATTCCGCAGTCATATTTACATGCATATTTTTAATGATTACAAAACATTTATATCAAACACAACAACAACATTACACTGAAAGTATCAACAAACACTGATTTCAAAATTGTTATTAGATAAAACTTTTTTTATATTTATATAATAAAAGCTACGGTGTATTCACATGGCTGGGCATTTTACATGTAGATAAACAGCTTTCAAAGTCTGCGTGAAAGCATGCAAATATTTATGTCATAAAGTAATCATAAAGGAATTGTTACATACTCTTTATATAAACAAATCACAAACAAAATAAGTAACAAGCAAAACAGCTGTCATCAAGTCAAGTATATAGCATTAACTGTATCATTTACAACACACTAAATGTATGGTTCTCTGAATTGTACATGCTTGTCTAGATTTCTGGGACAGCATTCCTATTTTGCATTTTTGTCCGAACAATAACAGTGGCTTCTCCTTTTACATCTCTCAGTCTGTCTGAGTCAAAGTCGACAAGCAGTTTTCTCAGGCCAGCACGGGTGGGCTTGAAGGAGAATTTAACTGTCACAGCCTGACCAGGTTCAATCTTACCACTAGAGAAAGAGAGATATAGATGTTAACAGTCAACCAAAACTTGGATGTCTTAGATCATATCTAATGCACTTCAAGAAATGTATACTGGATACTGAGGTAGTTCACCCATAAATGACAATTTACTGAAAATTTACTCACTGCACATGTAGATGAGTTTGTTTCTTCACTGGAACAGATTTTGAGAAATTTACATCACTTGCTCACCAGTGGATCCTCTGCAGTGAATGGGTGCCGTCAGAATGAGTTCAAACAGCTGATAAAAACATCACTAAGTAATTGACATGACTCCAGTCCATGAATTAATGTTTTGTGAAGTGAAAAGCTTTTAAGATGTTTTAACTTCAAACTGTTGCAAAAACAGTCCAAAACAGTTGTAAACAAATATGTGGTGGATTTTGATGCAAGAATACAACAGGGGATGGACTTTTTCACTGGAGGAAGTGTTATTATGGATTATGAACTGGTATTGTGGCAAGAATCAATGGTTTAAAGTGAAAAGTTAAAACACCTTAATGATGGATTGGTTTCTTATAAAAAAGCAGCTTTTCACTTTACAAGATGTCAACTGATGGACTGGAGTCGTGTGGATTATTTGTTGATTATTGTGATGATTTTATCAGCTGTTTGGACTCTTATTCTGACGGCACCCATTCACTGGAGAGGATCCAATGGTGAACGAGTGATGTAGTTCTAAATTTCTCAAATCGGTTCCAATGAAAAAACAAACTCATCTACATTTTTGATGGCCTGAGGGTGAGTACATTTTCTGAATTGTCTATTTTGGGGTGAACACTTCATTTAATGTCTAGTACATACTCTGTATGGTTTCTAAAACTAGTACATACTGTGTTTTTATTTCTTTCGCCTCTGTAAGTCCTGCTCCCTCCACGGTAAACACACCTCCTTGTAGACTAACAGGCAAGGAATTGGTGAAGGAGATGTGTGCTGTCAGTTTACGTGATACAATCGCTTTTCCAATAATCTGAAATGTAGAACAAATATCAGTCATTGATTAAAGGACCAAAGCCAATGACACAGTGCTAGTATTAATGGAACAGTTCATCACCTTGATATGAAGCGCTGGCATTTTCAAGGGGATGTTGATTTCTTGTAGGATGATGTTGTCTTGATCAGTGGGTTGGAGGAGGGCTGTGACCCTTATCATGTGATGTTCAGACACACATGCCCCATAATGGTCATACTGAAGTCGCAATACTTCTTTGTGAGCTATAAATTGAGGCAAAGATATTTTTTAATTTATTGTAAAACAGCCTTAAAGGAGAAGTAAAATTTGTTTGCAGATGCCACTATGTGCAAAATAATTCAGTTTCCTAGTCTTACCTTTGTGAGCTGGCACTGTGAGAGAGGTTGTCTTTCTCTGGCACTCTCCGCGGTGGATACTATTGTAGGTTATTGCGTTCGATGTGACTGTAAGCTGTGCATCTGTGTCCTCACTACCAGCATTATACACCTCTATGATCACATCAAAGTCTGTCCCGTGGATAGCTGGGGCATGCTTGATGAAAAGCTCGAGCTGTCCTGGGCCTTCGTTCTTTTGGCCCACTTGTCTGCCAGCCTTTTTATAAACCTCTCGCTCCTTCATAGATCCTGTGATGGGATAAAGCATTTGAATGTGATTAAATATCAGAATGTCACAATTTCAGAATCAGACGGCATGGACAAATATAAATTGAAATCAAACTGTATCATACTAAATTTCATGATTTACATGATTTACTGTGAACATGCCTTATTGTAAACAATACACCGATGGAATGTCTTTCCTTTTTAGGCTAGCGTCACAAAGGCCTCTTATTTTCTAAACAATTATTATAATAAAATGTGTAATATCATTTAAATATATAGAAGTAACATGTACAAGGTTTCAGGTACAATAGGAGACAAGTAACTTAATTTAACAACAGAATGTCAGATCAAAATTAGTTCACCATAAAGTGGTTAAAAAAATTCAAAACAAATGAGAACATTCAACAGGTTGCTTGTTTTTACCTTCAGGATATTTGTAGTTAGCAGTAATGTCCTCTGTGAAGTCTCCATACACACTTTTAGTGCTAATGTTCCGCCCTATAACTTTACTGTTTTGGGACACCTGAATCCGTTCCCCATCTGGATGAACAATCCAGACAACCAGATCAGCATTCACCTCAGAAAACACAAATGGGGTGTCGTACTTCAACCCCACTTCTCCCTCCTTGACCGCATGGACTGGACAAGGCCCACAGCAGAAGACTCCTGTAAGAACATGGAAGGCGGCGGCAAACTAGCTAATATTCCAGTTTTATGTAATGGGAGATAGGAGAAGTAGCTCTCTGGATGTTCTTGTTTTTATACTTCAAAGAGTAAAGCTTTACCATCACTCCTTTCTTGAGGAGTAGGGTCTAGTACCTGCCATCCATCATAACCTTCTGGGAGGTCATCACGTTTCATCCAGGACTCAACCCAACAGTGGTAATTCCTGAAAATAGAGGATGAAGATCAGGTCAGGGACTACAGAGGAAAATGTTATTGCTCTTTAATAACTCAGGAAACTTAATGGAGTTCAATTTTGTCTCAGATGTTTTTCTTAAAATTGCTTAGGAGACCAAAATGAGACAACTGTTGTCATAGGCTACAGAAAGGATTTAGAGCTTATAAAAAAATTATCGTGGATATCATAACTCACCAGATAGAGTCCTTCCTGCCTTCAGACACACTTTCAAGTTGATCATTGAAAAGGTAATCCACAGAAATGTTTGCATCAGTGTCATGAGCAGATGAGTAATTTGTGATGCATCTGGTTGGAATGCCAAGACAGCGGAGGACTGTTGAAAAGGCACGTTGCAGATCACGTGAATAACCAACAGGAATAATAACAGTAGTGCGCATTTCTGAATTTAGAAACACTTCATATTTTCTAAATCTTTTGCTTTCTTACCTGTGCAGGCCACTCCTGTGAACACCCAGCACTGCCCATAGCGCACTTTCTGTCCTCCACCCTCACTCCAGCGCCTCAGGATGGGCACACTGCCAGTCCACCGTGTGGGTGCTACCCCATCACTGTACTCTCCATCCCAGCGGCCAGATACCACCCCGCGATCATCATTAGCATTCACCTGTTAATGCAGATTTTTGTTTATGTAGAACGTATATACAGTATACGCAGAAAGCATATATACAATGTAAAACACTTTTTACAGATTACTTAAGTGAAAAAGTCATTATGCTTGAGCAAATAAGATTATAATAACAGGGGTGGAGACAATGAATGACCATGTTGACAGATGCCTTACCATGGCAGTAATAGTCCTGCTAACATAAACAGGGCTTCCTCTGTTAGCAATGTCCATCTCTGAATTTTTCAGGGCTGCTGGTGAATTGTCCAGCACTTCAAAGCAAATATCCACCACATCTTTTTCAAACTGTTTGAAAAATAGAATCCAAAGGATATGAATATTTGGTTTGTTTGCATTAGTACGAAATGTAGGCCTACTGAGGGGTGCAGAGGTTTTCCTGAAGGAGTATTCACAATTAGACACAGTTAAAGTTAATGTGACATGCTGCTGATCCACAGAAAATAACCACAGGAAATAATTTGGACTAAAAACAAACAATAAAGTTTGTGTACAGAAGAGAACTTGACATGGAAACAGTTGTACGTCAAAACCATAGACTGTACATAGCACATTTTTTATTTGTGAGTTGAAATTATTGTGCACATTGACATTAAATGCTGTCCTTAGGGCCTGACTTGTAGCTTAGCACTTTTAGTTCTCCCACTTAATCTGGAGAATCAAGTTTCTCCTGAACTGGGACAGTCAATTGTTTGTAAGACAGACATTGTTGCTGAAATGTCTGACATCTACAGAGAGTGATTACCCAGCAGACAAGCCCTCTGCGGTTCTCCTGCCACTGATCTGTCACAATTCACACCCTGCCTCATCTGAATTCCATCACCATGCAACATCACCCATAAATCCTGACTGTGTGTCAGTCATCACAGGCCATGATGCTTTCTCAGAGAGGGCCCTAACCACAAGACTATGTAAACAGACAAATTTGGATCTTGAGAACTTGGGAATGCATTTGTAGGTAACCTGTCCAAAGTTCCAAGGCACAGTGGTGATATCATCCCATGAGCCCTGGTACAAGATCCCATTTTCATTTAAAATGTACTCCTGCAGCAGTTCCTCACTGGGAAGGTACACAGAGTCATCTACAGGAAAGAAATACAATTGGCACAATTTTGTGATGAGCAATAAAATCAGCGACAATCCACCTAATTTTTAAAGTTGGGTGGATTATGATTGTCTTTCAATGTTTTATCATTCATCAACTGGAAGAAAAATCATTTTGAAAGTGATTCCAATAATATCATTCCTCAGTGTTGTTCTTGTTGTGGTGTGGACTTCCCTATTCTCATAGAATTAGAGCAATTAAAAAAATGTATGGTTATAGTTATCATTCAATTTTTTCATTTTTAGTTTGAGTAGCCCTCACGTTGTTCCTACAATGATATTTGATCTTCCATGGAACCCCAAAACATAGGCTGTCAACCTCCAAAATAACATATAAGCACCATAAAACTATGGTAAAAGTCTTCAATTCAACTCTCAGTTTTCTCAGGTTATACAGCACATTTGTGTGAGAAATAAACTAAAACCTTTTGAACAGAATAAACATAGTCATGAGGAAATATTAATTTACATTTTTCGGGTGAACGATGCCTTTAAATACTCACCTTTGCACCAAGGATTGAAAAGCAGGTAGAAGGTCTGAGACTTGGTTTGCTCCAGGATCTGCCCATCAGCTGAGAGCAGAACTACAGTCATGCTGTACAGACCCACAGGAGCATCAGCAGGGCTGTGGAGAGTCAGCATCACCTCACCCTGAGCATTACACTGACTGAACCACCATTTCCCATGATCCTGCTCTGAGTCTGACAGCTTCAAGACCACCTCATTATTCTTACCTGTAACACACACACATATGCACAGAAATTAGAGGATAAATGTGACTTTACATAATATAAATATATGTTTCCTAGTGGTGTCTTATGTTGTTGTTATGTGCATTTTAGCATTTTTGTGATTGTGTAAGGTTTTTTTTTTTTAGCTAGACCACTAAACCAAACTCTAATCTAATAACTTCTCTTATACTCCAACTCAAGATTATTATAGTTTCAAGCCCCAGTCCAAAACCTGTAGTCCACCTGTTTATCTTCCTCCCTGTTTAACCTAGCTCTCTCCATCAGGTTTACTCACCCAGGTGTAGTATGAGGTTGAGTTGGTGGTCTGGGAGCCGTGGGATGTGGTCAGTACACTGCAGTATTACAGAGAATGGCTGACCTCTGCGCACCAGCAGTCGCACCATGTCCATCTCCTCAGTGCGGTGAGCGTGGTTATTCTCATAGCACTGCAGATCTATACCACTCAGTAGGGCTGGGGACAAAAGAGATTAATGAACAGTTTAAACAATCATATAATCCAAATATCCATTTAGCCTTAGTTCCCTTCACCTATAACATGTCTTTAAATGCTTTGTTACTAAAAGTTATTTTGCGCGCAAGTTATTTTGGTGGCTAAATTTATGTTAATCATGGAATAGATTAATGATATGGTTGCCAATTTTACAGCCTTGCTGACCAGTTTGTAATTTCACACTCAAAAAGTGTGTTTCATGACAAAATGCACTGTTTAAATAAATATGGAAGCAGGCTACTGACTTGTTGGTTATTTTATTTGGTCCGGTATTGGATCTCTTGTGAGGTCTGGGCTTTAGAGCCTCAGCTTGGAAAGCAATGAAGAAAGTGGTTTGATGGTAACATTAAAAGTAAATTATTAATATTAAAAGATTTTCCACTGTTTTGTCTTTTTGGTGAAATATTTTTTAAAAGTCATCTTCTTGTGATCTGCTGAACTGAACTGTATTATATTTGCTTATATTATCTTCAAACATACAGTGGGGTCCAAAAGTCTAAGACCACCCTAAAAGCTGGAACACACTTAACGATTTTTGCCCTGATTTACAGTCTGGAGGAGTCAATGTTATAGCTGCCAAAAGTAAGATTGAGGATTTAGATTTTTGAGGAGTTAGATTTTGGGCAGTCGGAGTTGAGGGATTTCACAGAAAATCACATAGTGAATGGTGCAGTTTTATGGACTATGATTCTATCTGGTCAGAGAATATAAAAAATGCATCTCCTAGCAATGAGATGCATGTTTCTGTGTTTGTTATGTTTGTAACAATTTTAAAGTCTGGTCATGTGTGACCCACAGTTTAGTTTATATGTTTTAAGATTTAAAATAGTTAGTTTAGTGTGTTTTAAGATGTTGTGTAGTGTATTCCAGTCTTATAACAAAGAAAAGTTATGAAAAAAACATAAAATGAATGATAAATATTTAATATTTAGGATCTCATAGTCAATATTTATTGCTTAGACTGAAAAACAAGATGTTCCTTGGCACATACATTATCAAATCAATCTCAGAAATAAAGATACAAATATATACCTAATATACTAATATATACCTTTGAGGGACTAAAATGCACCATTTAGAGGTAAATAAGGTACAAAGATGCACCTTTTGAAAAGACACTGCTTCAGACAACTTTTGTACCTTTTTTTCTGAGAGTGATGAGATGATGCCAGACAACAGTTTTTGAGAAGGAAGAGAATATAATAAACTGCTGATGATGTGTAAAGTTTCATAGTTTGTGGTTGCAAGGGTGTAACTTGCAAAGCAAACTGAATTTGCTGAATATGTTGTCAAAGTATTAAAACTCTGTTCTTTGCACAAAGCATAGAAATAATAATTGATAACAACAACATGTCTAAAGTGTATAGTAACACATTTCTATCTGATCAGCTTGGATTCTGCTCATTGCTGCTTGATGCTACATTTACTTTTAATGTAACTGTAATGCCAATTTCTTCATTGCTTTCCAAGCTGAGGCTATAAAGCTTAGACCTCACAAAGAGATCCGATACGGGACCAAATAAACTAAATAACATGGTCCGACAACAAGTCAGCAGTTTGCTTCCATGTTTATTTCAACACCTGCCCAGCATGAATCAAAACCATCAGAAGTATTTCTTTAGCACTAGGACCTTTAGCATGTTTGAGTACAATTAATTTAATGGAAAGGAGTAATGTATTTTGATCCATGGTAGAAAGACCACATTATTGAATTATAAGTGGTTTGGTGAGCAGATGTTTGTTTTTTTTTAACCTACAGTTTCATAAATAGAATGGAAATGGAAAAGTCGCGCCAGCCCTCTTGGCAAAACTCTTGACCACCAGACTGCTTTATGTAATACATTTGAGTTCACTAACACAAACAGTTTTTCAACATCTTCACAATACCTTTTCAAAACAATCTTTACAGTTATTCAGTAGCAAACTTGTATTTAATATGAGTGTATATGCTAAACAGATACTGTGTTATTGCTGTCTATCATATTGATATACTTAGTTCTTTCTTTGAGCAATATTTATAAAAAAACAAATATGTTAAAGTGACTTTCTTACCATTATGGCTGGCCATCGATGGATTTAGCTTGACACTTGTTGTAAGTGATCGGTGAACCTTTGTACAATCCTGTTCTTGATGTTTGCTGTAAATTTCCGTAGTTCAGTCCAAGACAGCTATCTTCCCTGTAATACCTTGCTTTTAGGATCCGTTTTATAAAGAAAGACCATCCACGCCCATTGATGCCCCACCGTCTCTATCGCTGACTGCCCTTCTTTCTGCACAAGACACACCCTGACTCACACATCCTCTCCGTTTCCTTTATGACCTCTGACGTCACACACATACAAGGTCCTCAAGCAGTCTAAGAGGTGCTAAGTGTGTACAGTCTGTGTGTATGCAGCTCTGCCTCTGTGGAAAAAGAATCAAGGCTTGGGTATTTACTACAACCAGCGTAGTCTCTGCAAACACGTCATTGCTGGAAACTTTGTCTCTTTTCCGTAAGGACCAGGGTCACACACAGGGGCCCTTTGTTAAAAAGAGAAGTTCTGATGGTTGGGTAACACTTCCATAGTATTCCATAGATCTACTCCACCTTTATTTCCCTGACTCAAAGTCAGTTACTTTCTATTTTTAATCATTCTCTAAGTCTCCTATTTAAGCAAAAGGGAGAAAAGACAAACCAAAAAAATACATGTTCTAGGTAACATGAATTAGACGTCAAATGAGGATGCACTTTTTCCTGTAATACAAAAATGAAACTCGGATGAGTCATAAAATGTTTTCAGAGACTTTCCTTCCCAAATTTTCTCTGAACAATTGAATGTCGAGCATGCATTGAGTAACATACACAATATAGCAGTTTAACATATATTATCTATAATGTGTAAAGTGTAATGCACTGGTATGAAATGCCTGACGTGTCAGCTGGAGGTCAAGGGGTCAAATTGCAGAAACAACTAAAACTTCTGACATAATTTAGTGAGAAATTTCCCCACTGTTTGAGGAGTTAATTAAATTCCATTAAGCTCCCTCACTGATGATATGACAGCATTAAACTTTTAACAACTGGGAGCCACATAGATCATTAGAATTCTCTTTCCCAAAATAAAGTAATGTGTCTGCTGTATTGTCTGGAAGAACAATGATCTCTCTGGCAGTGGATTCTCACCATGATGTGACATTACTACAGTTCTTTTTGACCACGCATGCACACAAAAGGGTCTCTGTCTTGCTTATACGGTGAGAATCAACACCACCACACCTACATATAGAGAAAAAATTATTCGCACATGTGTGTGACACTAAGCTGAGGAATGCTGGAACAGGTAGTTTTCAGGACAAAATGCCCACGCACAGAAACAAGCACATTGAATTTCACATTGCTTTCTCATTGATTTATCATCAAACAGATTTTGTCATAAAAGTGAGAAACATACCAGTGTCTCTTTGGTTAAAAGTTATTAATAAGGAAGGAATAATAAACTGTTGATGATGTGTAAAATTTCATAGTTTGTGGTTGCAAGTGTGTAACTTGCAAAGCAAACTGAATTTGCTGATTATGTTGTCAAAGTATTAAAACTCTGTTCGTTGCATAAAGCATAACAATAATAATTGACAACAATAACACATCTAAAGTGAATGGTAACACCCTTGATGTTACATTTGCTTTTAATGTTACCGTCAACATGCCACTTTCTTCATCAATTTCAACACTGAGGCTATAAAGTTTAGACCTCACAAAGAGATTTGATAGGGGACCAAACAAAATAACACGGCCTGACAACAAGTCAGCAGTCCACTTCTATATTTATTTTAACAACCCGGAGCATTTCTAACCCATCTGCCCAGAATGAAACAAAATAATCAGAAGTATTGCCACCAGGAATATTTCATTAGGACCTATAGCATCTGATACTACAAGCACAGATTTTGTTGAATTTCACATTACTTTCTCATTGATTTATCATCAAAGAGATTTTGTCATACACATGAGAAACATACCAGTAGCTCTTTGATTAAAAGCATCTGCTATATGAATGAATATAAAAGGGAGTATAGGGAGAGGAAGGTCTAGCAGAGGTTCAGCTAACATAGGCCAGTGGCCAGTTGAACCAGCTGGACGTAAAAAAAAGTTGAGGTGTCAGCTCCTCTGACTGGTTTTCGCTACTTCCAGCCTTCCGATAAATATTTACACCTATTGCAACAGTTAAAACAACGACCAGGCGCAACTACCTCCAGCATAGAGGATGCGCGTCCATGCGAACCACAGACTGTGATGCGAACACATATTAGATTGATTATTGAAACCAAAAACGCCATTCCCGCTTAAATGATTTAGATGGCCAATCAAATCAAAGTAGGCGGGGTTTACTGTTAACAGAACAGAAGGAGAGCGCGCGAATTCCAGTAACTGTTACGAAGAGTCAGTGGTTAAGGTCGTCACTCGTCAGCGAGGTAAGATGGAAGTAGCGAAACATTTAATATTTGACAACTGTTTTACGATAGAAACGTTAATCGACCAACAGTAATATCCAGCGAGTAGCAAACTACTCGACATTTCCCTCAAATATGGCCGTTTTTAATTGAAATTATGGTATCACGTGATTCATTCTAACTGAACGTGACTAATGTTACACATTAAGTTAAACGTTTAACTTTACTTTATACTTAATACCCCCAAATGTTCATGACATGGTTACGGCCTTCCCATGCAGAGCGAAATTTAGCCAGTGTCATTTAAATGTTTACCGTAAATGGTTTTGTTACCAGTATTCTTTAGAATAGCTTTTTTTGTGCTCAACAGAAGAAACTCGTACAGGTTTGGAACAGCATGAGGGAGTAACGTTAACATGATAACAGTTTTTTTGAGAAGGGTCTGGCTGCAGACATGCACGTTATATTTATATTATTTTGTCGTCATTGTATTGTTTTAAGGACTTAAAATGGCCCTTATCAATCTTGATTGACATATTCTATCACATTATTTTGACAGTTAACGTTTTGGGCAGGTTTTTGTGAGCTTTTGGGCTGGAAATCGTCCATCCAATCTGGCAACACTGAGCGTCAGTTTTTGACGTCGTTAGCGAGATGGAAGTAACTTAGCGAAACATTTAATATTTGATAATCGACCGACAGTAATATCCAGCGAGTAAAGTTAGCAAACTACTAGACTTTTTCCTCAAATATGGCCTTTTTGAATTGAAAATGTCAAATTTACGTGATCCATCCTAACTGAATGACGACACATGAAACGTTTTGCGTTTTCGACATATTTGGCATACAAATAAGAGTGAACGTGTGCATATTTAAAATATTCTTTGCAAATAGTTCAAAATGATACGTGCTAGAATCCTAGCTTTTCTTTAACCGTTCTATTACTTTACTTTATACCCCCCAATGTTTAAGATATGGTTACCATATTAGATATATACCATAAATATATGGTTAACGAACAGCCTTGATGCGCCATCTTGCTTGGAAATAATTTCACACCCAGCATCAGCGAAATTTAGCCAGCGAGTCATTTAAATCACTTTTAATTTTTTTTAATCAATACAGTGGAAGTAAATGGTCACCGTTAACGGTTTTGTTACCAATATTCTTCAGAATGGCTTCATTTGTGATCAACAGAAGAAACTCATACAGGTTTGGAACAGCATGAGGGTGAGTAACATGATGACAGATTTTTTGTTGCATCATTTAGAGTCAATTACTTCGGTTTTACCTGAGGGTTTTAATCAGGTAATATTGTAAATAATGTTCACTTTCTTGCACAAACCAATCGTTTCGCTTTATAAGACTCAATATATAGGCCTAGTCAGTAGCCATGGGTATTAATTAATTTTGTCTTACCTGAATATGCTTTTTTTTATTCTCAAGTGTCGGTAGCTGACCTGCCTTTTATGAATCACCAAGGACCACGGTTTCAGCTAAAAATCTTCTTAACTGTTCTACTGAAGAAAAAGTCCCTTAAATCTTGGATGGCCTGAGGTGAGTAAATGAACAGCAAGTTTTCATTTTTGGGGGGAACTATCCCTTTAAGACAGTGACTTGCCGCCCTCTACTGGCGGTTTTAGTTTCATATATAAAGTATTATTAAAGGGGTCATATGATGCTTTTTTAAAGATCATTATTTTGTGTATTTGGTGTAACAGAATATGTTGACATGCTTTAATGTTCAAAAAACACATTATTTTTCAAATACTCGTTTCGCTTTATAAGACTCAATATATAGGCCTAGTCAGTAGCCATGGGTATTAATTAATTTTGTCTTACCTGTATATGCTTTTTTTGATTCTCAAGTGTCGGTAGCTGACCTGCCTTTTATGAATCACCAAGGACCACGGTTTCAGCTAAAAATCTTCTTAACTGTTCTACTGAAGAAAAAGTCCCTTAAATCTTGGATGGCCTGAGGTGAGTAAATGAACAGCAAGTTTTCATTTTTGGGGGGAACTATCCCTTTAAGACAGTGACTTGCCGCCCTCTACTGGCAGTTTTAGTTTCATATATAAAGTATTATTAAAAATATATATAACAATATATCTTATAACACTATTAATGCAGTTGTAACTGCAGTGTAAATTTATTCATGCATCAGTCTGTGTAAATAATCTAAATGCCACTTCAGGTGCAGCTTCTGTACCAATTCTACAACAATGGATTTTGTTGATACTCATTTTATTTGATTGCTATAGTGTCTTATTATTCTAATTAAATGAATACATTTAGGAATTTGCATGGAGTAAATAATACTAAATAATAAATAGTAAATACAGGGCTTAAAGTTCTCCGGCACCGTGCCGGATCTCCGGCGTGCAGTGTTTGGCTGCGGAAAAAAATAATCCTACATATAAAAAAAACTTGTTGATATCGCTCTCCAAAATCATCACAATTAAAAGAACCAAAGACTTAAACTACTTCAGTCTGTGTGCATTGAATTTATTTAATACACGAGTTTCACAATTTGAATTGAATTACTGAAATAAATGAACTTTTCCACGACATTATAATTTATTGCGATTCACCTGTATTCATTAAAAAAAAATTGGTTTGAATAAGGAAAGCAATAACTTTGCTATAGTATCCTTTCAAAAGTTAAAGTTGCCACAGTCATTGCATGCTTTGCATGTGCTGACCCATCCACGGAAAAAAGTTCAGGCTCAGGATTTTTTTCTTCTTTAACCCCTGTAAATAATAATACATATTAAATTAATGTAATAGGCTTAGAAAACTCCCTTATAAAGTTAAATCAATCGCCCCGGAAATCAATATAAGAAAGAAAATGTCACCCCTAAATGGAAAGGTTAATTTCAGTCATTGCTCATAGGTTTAGGATTACTTTTAAGTTTTTATCCTAGCTTTACTGAATCTCACAATGTGTTCTCAATTTTGGTGTTATAGAAATGGCCACGCTATATGTCACAGGGCAAAAATTATATTATAAATTATATTAAATTATATTGTATGTGTTGCATTATATCATATATGAATTGTATGCATTGCTGTTTTTGACTGTTACATTAAGAAAACAGCAAATATAAATGAGAAAAGTGAAAGTAGTTTTAAACGCTGTGCATTCACACCACTAGAGGGCAAAACATCACTACTAGCACCATGTGTCAGGATGGCCGAGCGGTCTAAGGCGCTGCGTTCAGGTCGCAGTCTCCCCTGGAGGCGTGGGTTCGAATCCCACTTCTGACAACAATGCATTTTTTCCCCAGTTGGTGAACAGCTGACGCGTACTCAGCATAGAGACCAAAGGCCGTTTCATACCTCATGGAGAGTATAGTACCGAAACAGCAAAAATACATGACATGAAAGTTTTACATCTGGTCGCTGCAGACAAGAGTCAACGACTGCAGTACAAAAATGACTGTTGTGAAGGATAGTGAAAGATGTAAGACGTTGATGAATGAATCTTTATAGTTTGTGGGTTCGAATCCCAATTCTGACAACAATGAATTTTTTACTACCCCAGTAGGTGAACAGCTGACACGTACTCGGCATAGAGACCAAAGGCCGTTTCATACCTCATGGAGAGTATAGTACAGAAACAGCAAAAATACATGACATGAAAGTTTTACATCTGGTCGCTGCAGACAAGAGTCAACGACTGCAGTACAAAAATGACTGTTGTGAAGGATAGTGAAAGATGTAAGACGTTGATGAATTAATCTTTATAGTTTTTTTTATAATGTGAGTGATTCAAAGCAAGGAGTGCAATGAGCATTGCATACAGGAAGAGTATTCTGCATATAATAAAAAATCTTAGAATTGAATTATGTTATGATTATGTTATGACTGTTAAAAGTAGCCGTTACTTATATATATCCTGAGAAACTATTACCTTGTGTGCATCTAAACTAATAGGGGTCATTAAAAAAAGAGATGTGATCTTTGTGCAAATTGATTTGTCAGTGATTCTGACATTGTAACTTGTAAACACTGCAATTTGTTAACCCCCAATTTTGACTTCTATTGTTTTTTTTTTACAAGAGGACGGTAGAGGGTTCTCACTTTATCATTCTTACTGAAGTTATTTATTACTTAGATACACAGTATCCGCCTAACATGATCTCACTGTAAATACATTGTAGGTGTGCAAAGGTGTAGAGAGAGAGCGAGAGGGAGGGTGTGAAAGAGAGACAGAAAACGTATCTGTTCAGGCTGAGTTGTTAGGTAGTGACGACACCTGCATTATCTGTTCTGGTGTGTCTCCACTGTGCTGCATTATTTCCTTTTTCTTTTTCAAAGTGACATTTTTATGTAATCAACTCCTAATACTGAGAAGAAATGGCGGATTTTCCTGGGAAGGTCAACACGCAGACCAGCTCCAGTGAACCTCAGAGAAGTTCTGGAATCCCAGCAATGGTAGACATGGACTTCATCAGGAGTATTCCTGGTATCCTACTTATAGCTGAGATTGTGAGTTGAAAAAACTATTGCACTTTCCATTCTTTGGCATATGTTGTATTTTTAACATAAGTGTTTTATATTTTGTAGCTTCATGAAAATGATTTATTTCTCCCTTCATAATACTCTCACACCCACTTTTCTTTTGAGTTTCTTCAAAAAAAAAAAGAAAGAATGCCAGATATCCAGTATTTGAGAAAAACTGAGACTGTAGGTATTGGTTGATAAAATGAAACTAACCAGGTTCGGCATGTACTGTGAATTATGGTCATTATTTTTCATACAACTAGGATATTATGCGAATGGTTGCATGCTTGTACAGGGTTTGCGTAGAGGTAGCTGTAGTGCTCATACTAAGCATTAAGGGTGCTTTCACACCTGGCCCGTTGTTTCGGAACCTGGCGCGTTTCCCCTCTTAGCTCGGTTAGTTTGGGCATATGTGAACATGGCAATCACGCTCGGATCCGTGCCAAAACAATCGGTCCGAGATCGCCTGAACGAGGTGGTCTTGGCTCGATTGAAAACGAACTCTGGAGCGGTTCGGTTGTAGTGAGAAAGCAATCTGATCTAACGGACCAACGAACCAGGCTATATCACAATGTATAATGGGGTAATTACATAAGTTCTGTGAAAAGAATTAGCTTTGTTGTTTTGCTAATACTTCAAAATGAACTTGTGAATGTCTGTGGGTGAGCACGTCTTCGCCATTCAAAAGCCAGCCAGCCAAAAAAACAGCCAGCATCAGCGAAATTTAGCCAGCGAGTCATTTAAATCACTTTTAAAAATTTTTAATCAATACAGTGGAAGTAAATGGTTACCGTAAACGGTTTTGTTACCAATATTCTTCAGAATGGCTTCATTTGTGATCAACAGAAGAAACTCATACAGGTTTGGAACAGCATGAGGGTGAGTAACATGATGACAGATTTTTTTGTTGCATCATTTAGAGTCAATTACTTCGGTTTTACCTGAGGCTTTTAATCAGGTAGTATTGTAAATAATGTTCACTTTCTTGCACAAACCAATCGTTTCGCTTTATAAGACTCAATATATAGGCCTAGTCAGTAGCCATGGGTATTAATTAATTTTGTCTTACCTGAATATGCTTTTTTTGATTCTCAAGTGTCGGTAGCTGACCTGCCTTTTATGAATCACCAAGGACCACGGTTTCAGCTAAAAATCTTCTTAACTGTTCTACTGAAGAAAAAGTCCCTTAAATCTTGGATGGCCTGAGGTGAGTAAATGAACAGCAAGTTTTCATTTTTGGGGGGAACTATCCCTTTAAGACAGTGACTTGCCGCCCTCTACTGGCAGTTTTAGTTTCATATATAAAGTATTATTAAAAATATATATAACAATATATCTTATAACACTATTAATGCAGTTGTAACTGCAGTGTAAATTTATTCATGCATCAGTCTGTGTAAATAATCTATTTGACACTTCAGGTGCAGCTTCTGTACCAATTTTACAACAATGGATTTTGTTGATACTCATTTTATTTGATTGCTATAGTGTCTTATTATTCTAATTAAATGAATACATTTAGTAATTTGCATGGAGTAAATAATACTAAATAATAAATAGTAAATACAGGGCTTAAAGTTCTCCGGCACCGTGCCGGATCTCCGGCGTGCAGTGTTTGGCTGCGGAAAAAAATAATCCTACATTTAAAAAAAACTTGTTGATATCACTCTCGAGTCCATGAGTTCGCCTAGCAATGGTATGAGAGGAGCACAGCTTTCACTCTCAACCAAACTAACATTACTAGCCAATCAGAATGTTTTGCTCT